GCTCCACCCCGACCACGCCCCCAGCCCCTCACCGGGGATTCTAGGCGGGGCTCCACCCTGACCACGCCCCCAGCCCCTCACTGGGGATTCTAGGCGGGGCTCCACCCTGACCACGCCCCAGACCCTCACTGGGGGATTCTGGGCGGGGCTCCTCCCTGACCACGCCCCCAACCCCTCACTGGGGATTCTAGGCGGGGCTCCACCCTGACCACGCCCCAGACCCTCACTGGGGGATTCTGGGCGGGGCTCCTCCCTGACCACGCCCCCAGCCCCTCACTGGGGGATTCTAGGTGGGGCTCCACCCTGACCACGCCCCAGACCCTCACTGGGGATTCTAGGCGGGGCTCCACCCTGACCACGCCCCAGACCCTCACTGGGGGATTCTGGGCGGGGCTCCTCCCTGACCACGCCCCCAGCCCCTCACTGGGGGATTCTAGGTGGGGCTCCACCCTGACCACGCCCCAGACCCTCACTGGGGATTCTAGGCGGGGCTCCACCCTGACCACGCCCCAGACCCTCACTGGGGGATTCTAGGCGGGGCTCCACCCTGACCACGCCCCCAGCCCCTCACTGGGGATTCTAGGCGGGGCTCCACCCTGACCACGCCCCCAGCCCCTCACTGGGGATTCTAGGCGGGGCTCCACCCTGACCACGCCCCAGACCCTCACTGGGGGATTCCAGGCGGGGCTCCACCCCTGACCATGGCCCCTGCCTCGTTACTTTTTTTTTTTTTTTAAGGATTTATTATGTATACAGTGTTCTGTTTGCATGTGTCCCTGCAGGCCAGAAGAGGGCGCCAGATCTCATTACAGATGGTTGTGAGCCACCATGTGGTTACTGGGAATTGAACTCAGGACCTTTGGAAGAGTAAGCAGTGCTCTTAACCTCTGAGCCATCTCTCCAGCCCCTATTCTTTTTTTTAAATTGAAACAAAGTTTCTCTGTGTAGCTCTGGCTGTCCTGGAACTCACAGCCATCTGCCTGCCTCTGCCCCGAGTGCTGAGATGTGCAGCACCACTGCCCAGCTGAAACTTAAGTTTTTCATACAATATATTTTGACCATGTTTTTCCATCCCTTGGATCCTCCCCTTCTCCCTACCTGCTGAACCTTTTTTTTTTTTTTTTAAATACCAGGCACAAAGAAAAACCACAAAGTTAAAAACCAAAATGTACAAGTAAACGACCAATAAGCCAAAAAAAAAAAAAAAAAAAAAAATCCCAAGCAAGGCAAAATAACACCATTGGGTTCGTTTTGCACTGGCCAGCCACTGGGCACGGGGCCTGCCCCGAGGCGTGGTTAATAAACCCAGTGCACTTCACTGAGGAGACCCATTTCCCTCTCCACGGGTGTCAATTGGAGACGGCTGCTTTCGCGGGTGGGAGCGCCGGTCCTCTTCCCTGAGTGTGCCGCCGTTCTTGCGGAGTTCATGCGTGTGTCAGTCGGTCCTGTTGTGTCTGGAAGACAGTTTTCTTGGAGATGTTCCCGCCTCCTCGTTTCATAGTTTTCTGAGGTGTGGTGGAGAACTCCCATTTATGACTGAGTGCCCGAAATCTCACTTTCTGCGCCTTGTCCTGCTGTGGGTCCGTTAGTTCCCATCTGCTGTGGGAGAGAGCTTCCCCGATGGCTGGGGGGCGGGGGTGGGGGCGCTGACCTCGGAAGGCTTTAAGTCAGGATTGTGGATTCCGGGCCACCCTATCCAGCAACAGAGGCTCCTGCTCACACATCCTGTCTCTTTGCTCAAGCAGATGTTCTCAATCTGGGTCTCCACACTGCTGTAATCTGTAATGTCATGTCAGCAGTCTTTAAAGCAACGCCTTGTCTCCAGCCCCTGGGGCTCTGCTGCCCGTGGTGGCATTAAATGCCACAGCCACCAAAGGTGTCTCATCTTCTAGACCCATCACACCCACCCCGTGGGGACTGAGAAGCCACCAGGAGCCAGGGAAATGATGTGAGCTTCATGGGGCACTCGGAGGCGGCACTGGTCATTCCCCAGGCATGAGCGAGCATTTAGAGTTCCCTGGAAACCAGTAGAGCGGCTTTCACAGTGTCTCCAGTTCCTGGTTCCTGAGGTCACTGGAGTGACCCTGAGCTGGGATCCCCTGAGAAGGGAAAACCCAGGCCCACATGCTCCCCTCTGTTCCCACTTTCTGTCATTAACTTCCAAATGCTTCTTGTGCACTGGGAACATGTCAGTGACTAGGACATCTGCTGGTTGCCTTCCTGGAGGTGACCAGCAGGAACAGTATTCCCAGAGAGGGAACAGCATATGCAGGAACCTCTAGGAAAGACAGGACAGGATTACAGAGGAACGGAGCAAGCAGAAATGTGCAAGACTAGGGTGCAGACCTGCAGACTCCAAGGACCCACAGCCTTCAGCCCTGGAGGGGAAAGACTGAAGGGTTTCCCATGTCTTCTCTGTGGCACTGCCTTGCCAGGGTCAGGGACCCAGTGTTGAGGAGCAAAGGTAAGCTCCCTGGGCAGCCTCAGATCTCAGGATCTACACTCCCAAGATCTGACCTGGGCCCCGGAGGGAAATCCTGCCTTAAAAAACGTGTGGGCTGCGGTTGTATGACAGCAAAACTATCCAAGTAAAAGGGAGAGGACTCACAGGTGCAGACTGGTGGCTAGGGTGGGGGTGGGGGGTGTGGAACCCTCGTTCTGGCCTACCGATTCTGCCCCACATCGCCACCAGGTGGTGCCCGAGAGCCGCACTGTGCCAAGGGGTCCCCACTGCCTGAGGCCCTGTGACCTCGGTAGCAGCTGGCATGGGTTCTCCCCTGTACCCAAGGTCTCTGGAGGCCCTGGGATCCAGCAAGGTTTGGGCCTCAGAATCCAGAGTTTCTGTCCATCCTTGGCTACATCACAAGTTTGAGGCCAGCCTGGGCTACATGAAGCCCACCCCCCCCAAAATAACAATAATCATAAAAAAAATGAGGGGAGGCATTGGGCTGGCTCTATGAGGAAAAGTTCTCAGTAACCAAGCCTGACAACGTGAATTCCATCCCACAGGGACTTCTCTGACTTCATATGCACACACACACACACATTCACACACACACACACACATTCACACACACACACACACATTCACACACACACACAGACATTCACACACACACACACACACACATTCACACACACACACAGACATACATACATTCACACACACACATTCACACACACACACACACACGCACACAAGAAGTAAATGTAATTTTTAAAATTTATTTAAATTTATTTTGTGTGCATTGGTGTGAGGATTTCAGATCCCCTGGAACTGGAGTTACAGACAGTTGTGAGCTGCCGTGTGGGTGCTGAGAATTGAACCCAGGTCCTCTGGAAGAGCAGTCAGTGCTCCTAACCACTGAATCAGCTCTCCAGGACCATAAATGTAATTTTTTTTTTTTTTTTGGTTTTTCGAGACAGGGTTTCTCTGTGTAGCTTTGCGCCTCTCCTGGGACTCACTTGGTAGCCCAGGCTGGCCTCGAACTCACAGAGATCCGCCTGGCTCTGCCTCCCGAGTGCTGGGATTAAAGGCGTGCGCCACCACCGCCCAGCTCATAAATGTAATTTTTTAAATTAGGAAAAAGCCCAGTACGGTGGCACATGCCTCCTAGCACTCAGGAGGCAGAGGCAGAAGGATCTGTGAGTTCCAGGCTAGCCAGGGCCACATGGCTATTATCCAAATGAATATATATGGAGGGGAAGAGGGAGAAAAAGGCATAAGGCAGTGGTAGTGGGAGTCTGTCTTCCCAGCACTGGGGAGACTGAAGCAGAAGGCCACAAGTTTGAGGCTAGCCTGAACAACATCATGAGACCCTGTTTCAACAAACACCACAACAAAACCAACATTCAACATGAGCAGTGAGTATTCTCAAGGTAGAGAATGTCAACAAAGATAATTTTCCAAGGCCTGACAGACTGCTTTCCTTCACATGTAAAAAGTGCCTGTGAATCAATAAGAACCAACAACAGTACAATGGAAAAAGGGGTGAACTATTTAAGTGACTTTTAGAAAGCAAATTCAAATGTCCCTACAAGATGAGAGCTGGCCCTTTCAGCAGTGCTGGAACCTGAGCCTATCTGGTTTTCAGAGATTCTCTGAGTTTCCTGCCATTGCCTGGATCAGAACAAAAAGCCATGATCTCTCCAAAGAGTCAAAGCACAGAGCCCTCGGGCCACAACCACCTGGCCCGTCTCAGCTCAGGTGGCCTCCACTTGCTGCAGCCCCATGGCCCTGGCCCTCGCTGTAACCAGTGGGTGCCCACAGGTGTGATGAGTGACACTCAAGAGCTCAGCCTATGGGTGATGGATGGGGCTGCGGGGACCTGGTCCCGCGGGGACCTGGTCCCGCAGATGGAGCCAGCCACCCACCGACTGTCCCTGCTAGGACTCAGTTTTCCCACGCTGCAGGTTGAATGTTCATAGCTCAGTTGGTGCATTGTGCCCTGGTCTGACTGTTCACACAGGGACCACACAGCTATCTGAGCCAGGATCCTCAGCCCAGTGACAGAGTGAGCTTCCTGAAGTGGCAAGGCAAAGAGGACCAGCACCAGTGCTGGTGGAATTTGCTGGTTTGGTTTGAAGGAGCCTCCCACCCTCCCCACACACACACCCCCACCCCACCCTCCCACCCCCTCACCCCCCCACTCCCCCACCCCCCACCCCCCACCTCCGCCACCTAGACTCAGTGAGGAGCTGGGAGCGTGGTCAGGGGTGGAGCCCCTGCCTAGAATCCCCCAGGGAGGGTCTGGGGGCGTGGTCTGGGTGGAGCCCCGCCTAGAATCCCCCAGGGAGGGTCTGGGGGCGTGGTCTGGGTGGAGCCCCGCCTAGAATCCCCCAGGGAGGGTCTGGGGGCGTGGTCAGGGTGGAGCCCCCCCCAGACTCCCCTAGTGAGGGGCTGGGGGCGTGGTCAGAGTTGTCATTTTCCTATCATATGCCCAGTCTTGGATTCCATCCCAAGTTTTACATAGAAGATATGAATGACCTTTTCATAAACATTTTATGTCTTCTACTCATTTTTTAAATCTATTGTTGGTTCTTGTTGATTTCCAGAAGCTTTTTATATACTGTGGAAGTCAGGCTTTGTTGGGAGTTTTCATTGGCTTAGTTCCTGTTTTCCTGTGTGAAGTGTTTGTGGGCAGGTGTTTTATATTTATGTGTTGTCAGTTATTAATCTTTTAATTAAAGGCTCCTGGATTTAATGTCATCCTACACGCACACTGAGATGTATGCTTAAAGCACACTATTAATATAAGGTCATTATGGGGAGACTAGGGTAGGAAAGGTCCCCTGTGCTGTTTGTGACTTCCCTGTAAATATAAAAGCATTCCAAGCTAAAGGATTTTTAAAATATTTACACACAAAGCTGGAAAAAGTAAGATGTACGCTTTTCCTGTGTAGTCTCCTTGCTTTTTTTTTGGGGGGGGAGAGCAGTCAGGATCTCACTATGTAGCCCAGGCTGTCCTCAAACTCACAGGGATCTCCCTGCCTCTACCTCCCAAGCACTGGGATTGAAGGCTGAGCCACCAAAATGTCACTTGTGCTGAATTTTTAGAATGTTTTGCTTGTTTCTCTCTGTGGAGTCAAATTTAACACCTTCTAGAATGTTCTCTCGACAGCCATTCCTGGGTGAGTGTGCGTCAGAAGTCCTGTGACAACATCGTCTTACAAGGCACCAGGGGACAGAGACACTGAGACTTGGGAAGGGACAGGATTGCGGGTGACAAGGCCCAGAGTTAGTGTGTCAGAGGACCGACTGCTCCATCCTGTCCGGGGGAGGGAGGGGAAGAGGTGTGTTTGTGTAAGCACCCTGAAGTGATAGCACCTCCAAAATGGCTCCGCCTTCCCACCAGGCCCTTGCTGGACTATGTTGGGTAGTGGCCATGGGCAAATGGGATTGTGACGCTTAGCCATCCCCTGAAGACCTAGCTTCGATGGCCACGTGAATGGCATTCTCCCAGTCCAAACCCATCTGGGGTCTGTCCCCCTTGCTCAGGCCATGGCCACATAGGCTGGAGAATCTGTCCCCTGTCCCCAGCAAGAGGACCATGGGTGGCAAAGGCCCAAGACTGAGGTTTCTCTGGGGCCCACCAGCCCAAAGCCAGTGCAGTGCCGATTAGGGAGGGAGCTCTGGCAATGGGTGGGCACACGGCCCGCCCTGCTCCCCTCTTCTCTCTAACCTTGCTCCCTCCACTCCAGCAACAAGGGCCAACTCCCGGCTCCTCCCACTCACCAGGACCCCTCCTGCTCTGGGGTCTTTCCATAGCTTACATTCTCTGCCCCAGGGCCTTTGCGCAGGCCTGCTGTGCCTGCGCAGCGGGAAAGGTTGCCATGGAGGCCAGGGCTGGGCCAGCCAGCGTCACCACCCCCACCTCCCCCCACCCGGTGAGGTGCTCCTGCGGCAGGGGCGTGCCTGGAAGCGGCGGAGGGGCGGGGGCGGCTGGCCCAGCCGGTCCGGCAGGTGCCGGCCTGCCGAGTCGGGCTGGCGGCGGCCATGGAGGGGCTGCGTCGCGGGCTGTCGCGCTGGAAGCGCTACCACATCAAGGTGCACCTGGCCGACGAGGCGCTTCTGCTGCCGCTGACCGTGCGGCCCCGCGACACGCTGAGCGACCTGCGCGCGCAGCTAGTGGGCCAGGGCGTGAGCTCGTGGCGCAGAACCTTCTACTACAACGCGAGGCCGCTGCCCGACCACCAGACGGTGCGGGAGGCGCGCCTGCAGGACGGCTCCGTCTTGCTGCTGCTCAGCGACCCCAGGTGACCAGGGACCTGGGCGAGGGCCTGGGTGAGCACCTGAGCTGGGGACCTGGGAGAGGGCCTGGGATCCGGGGCTCTGGCTTATGGAGGATGTCCTGGGGGGGGGGGTGGCTCAGGGGCGGGGTGAGGGGGACCCCGGTAGCCAGGTCCTCTTCCTCTCTACCTCATTAGCTCCGTGGTCTGTGGTGCTGGCTCCAGCTGGGGGCCCTGGCGACTCCCTTTTCTGCCCTCCCCTCTGTGTCCTTGTCTCTGTTCTTGCATCCCTCTCTCCGTCCTGCCTGGTCTCTGTCTCTCTGCACCACCCCCGACCCCGCGCCATGTTTCTTCATGTCTCCATCTGTCTGTCTGTCTCCATCTCTCATTCAGTGTCTGTCCGTCCACCTTGGAGGTGGGCTGGGCCAGCTGCCCTGGGGGCCGCTGCGCATCCGAGCCTGTCACAACCCGGTGGGGAGACTGCTCAGAGTGTCTCTAGTGGGGCCAGGGGGCCGGGGGGGTCTCCATGGGTACGAAGACCCTTTAGCTGGGCCCTGGGCTAGCTGGAAAGGCCTGGAAGCCCAGCGATGGCTGCTGTAGCCCTCACCGAGTCTTTCTGTCTGCCCCTCAGGTAGTTGGGGCTGGAGGAGATGGAGCCATGATTTTGGGAACGCAAGGTGCTGGCTGAGGGAGCAAGCTGGGCCGGAGGGAACCACAGGCTCTCTCTTCCTGGGAACCCAGCCTTATTCCAGGTAAGCCGCTCAAATGGGGCCCTTGGACATGGTGGAATCCACAGGTGGGAAAACTTCCTAACGCTAGTTCAGCACTGTTGCCCCCAACTTCCTGTGTGACCTTGAGCAATTCCCTGCTCCCTCTGGCCTCCTTCCCGGGATGCAGGCCTAGGCGGACCACGCTTGGGTGGCAGGGTCCCCATGTGCTCGGCCTGCATTTCCTGTAACAGCCACCAGGGCGCGCTAAGGCAGCTTCCCCTGCAATTCCTGTGGCACCCACCAAGGGGCTCCAAGCACTCTGGCTGTCTACAGGAGAAGGGGTCCAGGGTCATGGGTGACCACTGCACTGCCCTTACATGCCCAGATCCAGGCCATTGGGGAAAGGGAAGGAGAGCCATTGGCCTGAGAGCTGCTGGTTCACATCCCCGGGACCACATGTCCCTTGCGGATCCAGGTGCTGGGCTCCCAGGTGGATGCGACACCCCGGCCCTGCTGATGCCCACTGCCTCCCAGATGCTGTCATCCAGCCCTCCAGCGAGGAGTCTTAATGGTTTCTCCGTGGCCTTGGAACCCTCCCCCTCTCCCGGGAGCCTCCACCACCTGGATCTTCTGCCACCCCCGCATCCAGGAAGCCCTCCAGTCCACAGATGCAGTTCCTTCTCTGGGGACCCACAGGGCTCCAGCTGTGAACAACCCTAGCTCCAGGAGGATCTGCTGGGTTCCTGACCAAGGAGACTCTGATCCGGGGGGGCCTTGGTGACCCCACGCATGTGCAAAATCGGACACATACTGTGGCTGCTCTGCTCCGCAGCCTCGGTGTTGGGGGTGCCGTGCTGGGCCTCCGTGTGCCCCCTGGTGCTGCGGACCGCATGGTGAGCCCAGAAGGAAACGGCGTTTTAATTAAGAGTTGTACAGGCCTCGGGGTGCAGAGCTGGGCAGGTGGGGACTGAATGTTGGCCTTGGAGAGCTGGGTTGCTGGGCACGTGCAGCTGCGCCAGGCCCTGGGGGTCTGGGCTCCTCTCTGCCTCCCCAGTCTCCATTGCTCCACTGTGGGGGGAAGCTGCAGTCCCCGTGGGGTTCCTTGGCCCTAGCCACAGGGAGAGATGGTGTGGGGGGGAGGGCTGGCTTGGGGGCAAGAGAAAGAGCATTTTTTGACATTTAACAAACACTATGCAAATTGCATGCAAATTGCATGCAAATCACCACTCGTTCCTTAAGCATGACAGCCTTGGCATGTTCAGAAATAATAATGTAGGGCCTGTCTCCTGGTGCCCGTCCAGCAGCCTCCCTCCTCTGCTCTCCGCCCTCCTCTACCCTCCTCCCTCCCTCCCTCCTTCTCTTCCCATCTTTGATCCAAGGCCTCCCAGCCTGTAGCCGAGGTAAACAGTACGATTGGCCGATTGGCCGCCCACATCTTGTTTTTGTAGAGCCAAGGCCCACGGAGGCCCTGGGTCTGGCTTGAGGTCCCAAAGCCACAGTTTGGAAAGCATGTGGCCTCTCTCCAGCCGTCATCAGAAGCCACTTTGGACAGAACTTGTGACCCACAGAGAAAAGTGACAGCCGAGGAGGCCCCAGGCCTGTGGCGGCTTGCAGTCATCCCAGGAGGTGTTGAGGGTCAGGCTGCTGAGTATGCACGGCCACAAGTTCATCCTTGTTCCTTTCCTCCTGAGGTCTCCCTGAATTCTGCCCACAGGCCCTTCTGCTTTTATTTTTTCAAACTCCTATTTATCCTACAAAGGCCTACTTTCAGTGCCCCATTTTTACAGAGCCGTTCCTGATACTCCAATAATAGCCCCCAGTTCCCTCTGGGCCCTGCTATGCCAGCACTGTGCTCCTGTCCTAGGCCTGAGTCATGAGACCAGGTGGTGTCGGGCTCATTCCACCTGGGTGAACTCACGGCAGGAGCTCCAAGGTCATCCAGTCTGGGTTCTAGGTACAGGGGGCATTTTGAACGTGTATCAAATAAAAGACTGAAGACAAGCAGGTGGTCCCTGCAGTGACAGCTCCCTTCCCGGTGTCTTTGTACCGTCGTCCCCCACGGCTCCCGCCCGCGCCTGGTTTCCCTGACAGCTGCCCACTCTCCCTCCAGGGCCTGGCGGGCCTCAGGCCCCACCCAGCCAGCAAGCCCTGGCTGGGGCAGGAAGTTTCGATGAGACTTGGCAGCCTCTCTGGTCTCACTGAGGCCTGTGGCATCCAGGGAGGGGCCGACTCCCGCCGTGGGGCCCACCCACGCTGGGTCCCGACTGGGGGGGAGGAGGGGCGGATCCCACGGTGCTCCCTCTGAGGTCGGAGCATTTGCTGGAGACCCAGCTGGGCTGCCAGGGACAGCGGCCTGTCCAAGCGCGTCCCTCTGTTTCTGTATCTGAGCGTCATCTGTGCAGTTTTCAAAAACTAGAGAACTGGGCGTGGTCAGGGTGGAGCCCCGCCCAGAATCCCCAGTGAGGGGCTGGGGGCGTGGTCAGGGTGGAGCCCCGCCTAGAATCCCCCAGTGAGGGGCTGGGGGCGTGGTCAGGGTGGGGCCCCGCCTAGAATCCCCCAGTGAGGGGCTGGGGGCGTGTCAGGGCGGGGCCCCTTCTTGGAGGCCACCCCCATCCCTCCTTTAGGGTTTGAAGTCTGGCCTAATCTTGAGAGACACCCAGCCTAAACCTCACTCTTCTGCCCGATCTAAGCTCTCGCCGCCCCTCACACACTGAGCCTCTTTTGGGGCCACAGGACCTTTGCACAGTTTGCTTTGCTCTTTAACCCCTGCCTTTCACATTTTTCTTTTCCTTTGTGTTTAGTTTTTATTTTTGTTGTTCTTTTTGATACAGGGTTGTAACTGTAGGCCAAGCTGGCCTCAAACGGGCAACAATTCTGCCTCAGGATCGTGACTGAGGGGAACCCAAGCCTGGGCTTTTATCCTTTATCTTCAAAAGCGCTTTCTGGGGGAGGTTCCCAAATGGTTCATGGTCCCTTAGTTAAAGCTTTTTGTTGTTGTTGTTTTTGAGAGGTCTCACTCTGTAGTCCAGGCTGTCCCTGGAACTCACTGTGTAGACCAGGCTGGCCTTGAACTCACAGAGATCCTCCTGCATCTGTCTCTCGAGTGCTGGGATCAAAATTTTGATCAAAAAAAATCCCACGTGGCTGTAATTTTTCTCTGAACTTCTGTATCCTCATTGAGGGGGGCTCTGGTCAAAGGTCAGTCTGAGTTATAAGAATTTAGAGGCGGCCGGGCGGTGGTGGCGCACGCCTTTAATCCCAGCACTCGGGAGGCAGAGCCAGGCGGATCTCTGTGAGTTCGAGGCCAGCCTGGGCTACCAAGTGAGTTCCAGGAGAGGCTCAAAGCTACACAGAGAAACCCTGTCTCGAAAAAACAAACAAAAAAACAAAAAAACAAAAAAAAAAAGAATTTAGAGGCGACGGCATGATGGCTCATATCTTAATCCCAGCACTCGGGATGCAGAAGGAGGCGGATCTCTGTGAGTTCGAGGTCAGCCTGCACTTCTGAGACCCTAAAAAAGCCAAAATTTATTTAGTCAGTTAGATGTATGCAGTGTTCTGCCTGCATGTGTGTCTGCATGCCAGAAGAGGGCACCAGATCTCACATGGTTGTGAGCCACCCTGTGGTTGCTGGGAATTGAACTCAGGACCTCTGGAAGAACAGCCAGTGCTCCTAACCTCTGAGCCATCTCTCCAGCCCAAAGCCAAAACTTTAAAAGAAGCAGGCAGGATGTATCTGGTACGTGTCTGGAGAGCAGAGAAGGATCTGGGGGAAATATCTAGAAGGGAAAACAGCGAAGTCAGCACATGCCAAGGTCCTGGGGCAGGATGGTCTGGCCTGTTGGAGGCTCCCCCTCTCCTCCCATCCCCACCCCCGTGACGGACACCACACCCTATGAGTGGCTGCAGTGGAAGCCAGCAGGGTTAACCACTGGGCTCCCCATTTGTCCTATCATCCCGTGCATGTCCCCCATCTCTTACCTCTAGCTTCTCTTCCCTATCTCTTTCCAGGAAAGCAAGTCTTGTTCTCAGTGGCGTGGAGGGAGATGGAGGTCGGGCCCAGGGATTGAACTCAGGCCATCGGGCTTGGCCACAAGCCCCGGCTGAGCCGTCTCTGAGAGCTGAATTTGCACCCAGCGGCTAAACGCTTCTTTCAGTCAGTTCATTTCATCCCAACAGTAGTGAGGGGCTGTGATCACCACATTTTGCAAGAACTTGGCTAACTCCAGGGTCTAAGTTTCTGAACAGGGTGGGTTTGAACTTGAGATTGTTTAAAAGTTGAGACAGCGCCGGGCGGCGGTGGCGCACGCCTTTAATCCCAGCACTTCGGAGGCAGAGGCAGGCGGATCTCTGTGAGTTCGAGGCCAGCCTGGGCTACAGAGTGAGATCCAGGACAGGCACCAAAACAACACAGAGAAACCCTGTCTCGAAAAAACAAACAAAAAAGTTGAGACAGGGCCAGGGAGGCGGCTGGACTCAGGCTCCTGTTCAGCCGGGAATGCACTGGTCTGTTCCCTGTGCTGGAGCCACAGCAGCCTCTCTGGGGGTCTGGATCCTAGGGGATGGGAAGCGTGTGTGTGTGTGTGTGTGTGTGTGTGTGTGTGTGTGTGTGTGTGTGTGTGTGTGTGGTGAGGGGGCGTCCTTCAGGTCGGGGCTGGGATCCTAGACACATAAAATACCCGCTGTGGCCGGGGCCTGGAACCACAGGCTCTCCTCCTTCATTTTACAGGGGCAGCCACTGAAGCAGAGGACAAGCTGGGGCCCTGCCGGAGTTGCGGGAGAGGGGGGGACACACTGTCTCTGCTCCCTTGCTTGTTGAATCACAACCCCATCCCTGACATAGTGCAGATGGGGAAAATGAGGCACCATGACCCTGATGACTGGTCACAGGCACGCGCGTGCGTGCGCGCACACACACACACACATGCACACACATGCACACACATGCACACACAAAGGCACAAATACATGAATAAAAACATAATAAAAAAATTAAGCGCCTGGTCCTGTTGCCATGGCCACCAGGCTGTACAGATGGCCTCTTACCGGTTACATATTTATTTAAATGTCTATACTCTCAAATTTATTTACCTCACAAAGACTTCAAGGGGGCCGGAAGCCTGTGGGTTGAGCCACAGGCTCTGTACCCTCAGGGTACACTTAAAGGGCCACCTGGGGTAGAAGCCACAGCTTCCCATCATCAACATCACCGGAGTCCTCAGCCTTCCACAGGCCCCAGGCCACCCTGGGGACACACACATGGCCCCCTGTCTGAGACACACCAGGATCAGCAAGATGGCTGAGTGGGGGCTTGCCTCTAAGCCTGACGACCTGAGTTCGATCCCCGGACAGGCACCATGGAAGGAGACCTGACTTTTGCAGGTCTTCCTCTGACCCCCGCACGTGATAATTAAATGGAAAATGAGGATGCTCTGGCTGGCGGGAACCCTGCCCCACTGTGTCCCCACTCAAAGCTCCTGCACCGTGTCCTCTGCCAGCTGCCTGGGGACAATTACAGTGTCCCAGACGCTGCACAGACAGACCTCATGTTTAATTCATCCTGAGCTAATGACAGCTGTAGGGGAGGGCAGAGACCTGGACCCTCTGCTCCTGGCCAGTGTGCTCAGAGGTGGCTGCCAGGTGGAGGCATGTATCCTAACTCACTCTGAGGTCCCCTCCAACTGTGGGGCATCTTTTCAGGGGACGTGGGGGGCTGGGGACAATGCTGTGACCTGAGGGACACATTTCCCCCCTCCCATCTGCGCGCGCGCACACACACACACACACACCCACACACACACACACACGTGGGTCATGTGACCAGTGTGTTACACTTACAGGTAGGTCAGCAGGTGGGGCTTCCACCCTGGAGATGGCTGGGTGATGGGAGTGTGTCAGCAGCAGATACCGAGGAGCCAGGGACAGAGGTGGGAAGGGGCAGGACAGATCCCGTGTGGCCTCACACTCACACACAATAAATCAAAGAGATGAAACCATGTAGAAGATTTACTCTGTGTAGATCACAGGTGGGTCTGCTTGTGGGGTGTGCACTGTGGGTGTAGTTACCTGTGGAGGCCAGAAGAGGGCATTGTGTCCACAAAACTGGAGTCACAGGATGTGGGAACCAAGAGTGGCCATGTTCCTAAAGGAGCTGTTAGCTCCGTAAAAGACAAAAGGGCAAGGTGGTTGTGCACACCTTTAATCTCAGCAGGAGGCAGAGGCAGAAGGATCTCTGAGTTTGAGGCTAGCCTGGGCTATGTAGACATACCCTGTCCCAATATAAACAATTATAAATAAATAAATTGCAAAGACACTTTGGGCACTAACTGGCGCACAGTAGGTGCTCCAAACTTGTCTGAAATCAGTCCTGTCTCTCAGGACTGAGAGCGCCCCAGAGGTGGGAGAGGCATGTGAGCTGGGTCGCCTCTGGCTGGCCATATTTCAGTTCCAGGTCGCACCTGAGCAGCTAGCAAGTGGGGCGGGGGGGGGGTGGGGGGGGGGGGGGGGGGGGGGGGGGCTCAGCTCGGTGCACATGGGGCAGCTCCATCTCCGCGGCCCAGAGAGGGCCCGAGCCACGCCTGGGCTGCACAGCTCTGAGAGGCCTGGCGCCTTTCCAGGCTGTGACCCGGGGTTGGCGGCTGCAGACGGGGACACCGGGGACGCACCGGTACCCAGTGTTTCCATGGGAACCTGGCAGGGGCCGGGCCGGAGCGATTAGGCGTCCTGAGGAGCAGTCGCTAAAAATAGCGCGCGCCCCACGGGGCTCCTCACCCGGGCTTTGGCTGCCCTCCCCGCCTCGGGGACAGGTCGGCGACGGTCCCCACCCCGCCCGTGCCGCTGGCGGCTCCCTCTCCTTCCCGTGATGCTCTGCCCATAGCTGACCGACTCTGCTGTCCTGGCTCTCCCCCCTCACCACAGCCGATTGCGGGTCTCTACTGAGTCCGAGAGTCCTGGGCCTGGCTCCTCTGAGTAGGACTTGGCACACGATACTTGGCTTAGTAATGTGGAACCAACACTGTGCCT